CTGAGATACCACCTAACCCCAGTCAGAATGGCAATTATCAACAAGTCAAAAAATAACAGCTGCTGGAGAGGGTGTGGTGAAAGGGAACACTTCTACACTGTTGGTGGGAGTGTAAATTAGTGCAACCTCTGTGGAAAGCAGTGTGGCGATTCCTAAAAGCTCTAAATACCGACCTTCCATATGACCCCACAATTCCCTTACTGGGAATATATCCTGAAGAACACAAATCACTCTATAAAAAAGATACCTGCACACGCATGTTTATTGCAGCATTGTTCACAATAGCAAGAACCTGGAAACAGCCATGTTGCCCATCAAAAGAGGACTGGATTAAAAAAATGTGGTACATATACACGATGGAATACTACGCAGCCATAAAAAAGAACAAAATCATGAATTTTGCAGCAACCTGGATGGAACTAGAGTCTATAATACTGAGTGACCTCTCACAGAAACAAAGATCCGAGTATCACATGTTCTCACTCATATAATGGACCTTAAACATTCAATGCAATACTGTACGAAAATGACTGATAGTACTGGGAAACTATGGTGGGGGGAGGGAGATGGGATTAACAGTAGCAAATATCTGTCTGGGAATGGGGAAGCACCCCATATCAACAGGGTGCCTGAATGAAACGCAATTGTATACCTAACCCTTAACTGTACCCCACAATTTCATAATAAAAAATAAATAAATAATTTAAAAAAAAAAGATTTCACTTGAAAATGGATTGTGCTGCCAGAAGTATCTGAAAAGCTCTGATTGAGGAGTAATGTAATTACAAAGCTGGGTATGTAGGATGTGGCCTGATTATAGACCACCTTGAATGGTAGGCTAAGAGTACTTTAATTTTTCTGTCAATCAATCGGTCAGACATTTCCCTCTCATCTATTATTGGTCTATTATCATGGATCATGTGGAAAAAATGATTTAAGGCAGATAAGAAATACATAAGTACACAGATAAAAATAAAATAAGCTTAAAATGAATAGGTGAGACTATCAGAACAATGTAAAAATAAAGAAAAAGAAATCAGGAAAAAGATTAAATATAAAATGTATGCTATAAAGACCTATCCACAAGGGGTACAGATTTCACTCTAAGTTTTTTAGCAGTCACCACAAGGTAAAGAAACATGATTCATGGCCAGTTAGGTAAAAACAGACACTCAGGAGTAGCTCAAGTATTCCTGGTATTAAAACAAGAGAGAAATGTATTTTGTGTGATTCTCTTCAGAGAACATCTTGAAGTACAGTAGAGAGAAGAGCATCCCTAACACTGGCTTTGACAACATCCTTTCAGCAAATGTGAAAAATGTGTTTCACAGGGCCAGTCCTTATTAAGTCAACCCAGTTAGGCCAAATTCTCACACCAGGCTCTAGAGCCTGCAACAGGCACATGGAACACTCTGTGGCCCCTTAAAAGGCTTTGGGGAGTTTCAGTCAGTTCAGGCTGTTGTAACAGAATATCATAGACTGGGCAGCTCAAACAACCATTTACTTCTTACGGTTCTGTAGGCTGGAAGTCCAAGATCAATGTGCTACCCCAGTTGGATTCTGGTGATGGCTCTCTTCCTGGTAGGTTTCCTCCTCTTCTGTAAGGGCACAAATCCCATCACGGGGGCTCCACTCTCATGAGCTCATTCATCTAACCTTATTTACTCTCCAATAACTCCACTTCCAAATACCATCACATATGAATTTGGGGAGACACAAACATTCCATTCACTGCAGCTTCCACGGCTTGGGGGATTATATTTCCATCCTTCTCCAGTGTGTGGGACTCGTTTCTCTTACCTCCCCCAACTCCTACCCAGGTATTTGCACTTCCCAGAATTTGGTGAATTTTTTTTTTCTAGCTCAAACAAAAGAACACCTCTATTTTAAGAATCTTATTTTTTAAATTTACTTCTTTGAGTTGGAGTCTCACTCCGTCGCCCAGGCTGGAGTGCAGTGGCATGCTCACGGCCACCCCAGCGTCAACCTGCTGAGCTCAGGCAATCTTTCTGTCTCAGTCTTCCAAGTAGTCAGAACTACAGGCGCATGCTACCATGCCCAGCTAATTTTTTGATTTACTGTAGAGATGAGGCCTCTCCAAGTTGCCCAAACTATTCTTGAACTCGTGGGTTCAGGCAGTCCCCTCACCTCGGCCCCCCAAAGTGCTGGGATTACAGACTTGAGCCACTGCGCTCAGCCAAGAATCTTTACTTAACAATTGCATTAAATTTCACCCAATAGTCACTTACAAGTTTTAAAAAGCTTATTAGTTTTTTTGCTCATCATTGCTTCTATTTTCCACGTCTGTCTTGCTTTTTGGCCATTTCCTTTTAAGAGTAATTTCCCCCTGCCCAGGGCAGATTTGTGAATGGTAAATCTCACATATTTGAATGTCCCCAAACTTCGTTTTCTGTCCAGTTTATGAACAAGAGCCAAGTGGGTACAGGACTGAAAGTTAAAAATCATTTCCCACCAGCAGCATGTAATAGGACTTGTCCCCTTGTTTACTGGGCTCTTGTGTTGAACCTGAGAAGTCTAATACTAATCTGAATATTTAAAATAAGAAAAGGCTTAGTCTCTGTTTCTCTACCCCTGATGTGGGCCTTTTTCGATTAGGAAGTAGAGTGGAAAGGAAGTTATTGGGAGTGAAATAAACTCAGCAAGAAATCTTTGTAGACCAAAGACCACGGAAAATGAATAAAACCACTGACATGTAATTGACAAATTCAAAATTGTGTATATTTGCGGTGTAAAAAAATAAAATAAAATAAGAAAAAAGAAAACAATCCTATGTTTTTATTTTTCTCTCTGTAATCTTATGTAATTTCTAAGCTTTGAACTGTCAACTTTTATTAGGAGGCATCTAATGTTACATTTTTTCCAAAATTCTTATAATTACATTCATTAAGTCTTTCCTCTAATGGCTCAAAAGCTCGGGGGAAACTTCTATTATATTTTGGTTTTATTCCTCCCACCCCCTTCTATGGTGTCTCTAATAGCCTCTACTAGCAGATTGTATTCCTTGGATCTATTTTCATAGCTCTTGAGTTTTCTTTAAATTTTCATCTTTGTCCAGTTGTATGGTCTTCAGGGAATTCCTTCAGCTGTATTTTCCAAAGGTTCTCTTTGGTGTTGTTCTGTTCAAAATTCTGTCCAAATAAGATCACTTTAGAGAGTGAAGGGAGGGAGCACAAAATATAATTAACAGGCCCTTATTGATCTATGTCAGGCATTATCCAGGACTTTTTTGGGAGAAATTGGGGCATACAATTACCCTATCTATTCCGTTCTTCTTTCAACTTAAAAAAAAATTAGTAAGCCGGGCTCCGTGGCTCAGCCTGTAATCCCGCGCCTTGGGAGGCTGAGGTGAGTGGATTGCCTGAGCCCGTGGGTTCGAGATCTGCCTGGGCAACTTGGTGAGACCTCATCTCTACAATAAATCAAAAAATTAGCCGGGCGTGGGAGCGTGTGCCTGTAGTTCCAGCTACTTGGAAGGCTGAGGCGGAAGGATCGCTGGAGCCCAGCAGGTCGAGGCTGTGGTGGCTGGCAGCGGCCACTGTATTCCAGTCTGAGCAACAGAGTGAGACTCCAACTCAAAAAATAAATAAATAAAAAATAAAAACATTAGTAAATATTTTGGGCCTTGAGCAATCAGTTTACTTCTTTTCCACAGCAGCCTGCTCTCATGTTGTAAAGGTGATAGCTTCTGGAATCTCTCTGAGGATATTTACAGTCAGATTGACTGCAGCAAATAGAAGTGATCTCTAAAGATCACTGGGATTTCCTTCTTGGATGCTAAGAAGGAGTCTGAGGCCTCCCTTTCGCATTTCTCCTGCTCCGAAGAGGATCTTGGTTGGCTGCTCTTACGTCCAGGTGAGGGTCTAGGCTGAGGACGTGTGACAAAGCAGTCACAGAGGCATCTCTCTGCAGTGAACACAGATTCTGAATCCAAGGTCCTGGAGGATGGAGACAGGGCAGCAGTAAGGAGGTGAGCAGGCCTTCCCCAGTGCTTGGGGTCCTTGTCTTTGTGTCTACCTGAGGTATAGCTACCCTTCCAGCCACACTGCCCACTCTGCAAGTCTCCATAGCCAAGTCTCCCCTTATCTTGGGAGCAGAAATGGGAGGTGGCAGCTTCAAGACCAGGGGTTGGGGGTCCTACCTAGTCCCCGACATGAGTGCCTTTCACAGCCCACAGCCCACAGTCCATGTCAGTTCCCAGCCTTGTCTACCTGTAATCTGACAGCTCTTGCAGAATTCAGAATTATGAGAAAACAAACTTCTTCTTCCTCCTCCTCCTCCTCCTGTTCTTTTTTTTTTTTTTAAATCATGTCTTTTGCCAATTCTGTTACATATCCTCGTCTTTGACTTTGACATTCACAGTGATCCATCTATGTTTACTTTTCAAAAATCTTTCAACATTCTAGTCCTCAAGTAGTCCCCTTCCTGGTGGTCCAGCAGCACGGTTTACTCTTTATTTTTTTATATTTAGTCTCTCATTTTACGTAGAAGGGAGAAAAATGTATGCCCTCCAGAAGTCACTTTGAACAAACATATTCCTTAGGAAATATGATTTGGTTACATTTCAGGCAGGAGCCAGGTGAACTGGTTGGTGGGAGCTGTTGTAGGAAAATTGATCAGTAACAAAAGGGCTTTGATCACTCAGAGCAGAAACAATAGGGATAAAAGGGATGGATAGATGCTAGGAGCATTGTCTATTGCACTGATCATAATTATTTATTTTTAGCAGAACTTTCAGGTAACACTCTGTAGGACAAGGCCTGTCATTTAGAAAGGTACGCTGGCACCAGATGTCAGCATGTCTCCCACTTGCCCAGGAACGGAAAAGGTGTCAAGTGGGAGGGTGAGAAGTTTCTTTTCCATGGGAAGTGTTTGTTTGATTGTTACTGAGGAGGAATATGGCTCCTGCTGAGTGGTTTCCTTGGTGTCTAGCAGCATTCACTGAAGAGCACAGTATCTTCCAAAGTATTCATGTCACTTACCCTCATGACGTAGACTGCCTTGAGAATCCCTCTTCTGCTCTTGGTACATGCAGCCTCAAAGGGAATGGCTCCAAATGTCTGAGAGTTTGAACAGATGTTCTTATAAACACACCAGCAATGCTCCAAGGAGTCTCAAACCTGGTTCTAAACATTCACTTGGACAAATTCACAGAAAGGGCAGCTGAGGTTAATGCCTCAGAAATTTGGTTTAAGAGATGTCTAGAGGATTAGGTAGCCTGAAGAACCAAACCACTGGTTTCCAAATTTGCTGTTGGGAATTGCTAGTACCCTACATGTTTATGCTAACAATACAATTTTATTAATGAAGACGTAGGCTATTTATTATTTTTCTAGCTCTGGGACTACTCATTTATAGTTCAGCATGAGTTACTAGCAGGTGATTCAAATAGGAGCAGAATATCTAGTTCCCACAGTGGGATAGGATGTGAAGGGTACACCTGCTGAGACTGTGGACTCAGCACACTGAAGGCGTATGAACTAGTGTTACCCTGAGCCACTTCGGAGAAATCTGGAGATTTCTCTCCCTCCAATTCAAAAGATGTATAACAAGCAGAGGTATCCTTCGATCAGAAACCATGGACAACAGCCCTTTCTTTTTATTTAATTTTTTAATAATTTTTTTCATCTTTAAATTTTTTATTTTAAAATTGTGGGATACAATTCAGGGTTAGGTATACAAATATCCATTGTGCAGGTACCCTTGTTGATGAGGTATGTCCCCCCTTCCCCTGGCAGATTCCCAATACTGCCAATCCCACCTTCCCACACCCTCATACTCCCACAGTTTCCCACTACTGTCAATCCTTTTCTTACAGTATTATGATAGTTGATCAAGGTCCACTTATGAGTGAGAACATGTGATACTCAGTTCTTTGTTTCTGTGAAAAATCACTCAGTATTACAGACTCTAGTTTCATCCAGGTTGCTGCAAAGTTTTTCTTTATGGCTGTGAAATATTCCTTTGTGTATATGTACCACTTTTTAAAAAATCCAGTCCTCTTTTGATGGGCAGCAGGCTGGTTCCATGTTCTTGCTACTGTGAACAATGCTGCGATAAACATACGTGTGCAGGTATCTTTTTTATAGAGTGATTTGAGTTCTTCCGGGTATATTCCCAGTAGGGGGATTGCGGGGTCATATGGAAGGTAGATTTTTAGAACTTTTAGGAATCGCCACACTGTTTTCCACAGAGGCTGTACTAGTTTACACTCCCATCAACAGTGTAGAAGTGTTCCCTTTTCCCCACATTCTCTCCAGCACCTGTTATTTTTTGAGTTATTGATGATGGCTATTCTAATTGGAGTTAGGTGGCATCTCAGTGTGGTTTTAATTTGCATTTCTTTGATGACTAGTGAGGCTGAACATTTTTCATATATTTGTTGGCTGCTTTGTATGTCTTCCTTTGAGAACTGTCTATTCATATCTTTTGCCCATTTGGTAATGGGGCTATTTGCTTTTTTTCTTTTCAGTACATTTGAGTTCCTTGTAGAATCTAGATGTTAGGCCTTTGTCAGACATATAGTTGGCAAATATTTTTTCTCAGTCTGTGGGCTGTCTCCCTGCTCTCTTGAAGGTTTCTTTGGCTTTGCAGAAGCTTGTCAGTTATATAAGGTCCCACTTGTCTATCTTATCTCTTATGGCATGGGCACTTGGGGTTTTGATCAGGAATTGGTTGCCAGTTCCAATTTCCATAAGAGTGTCTCCTGCATTTTCCAAGGTTCTTATAGTTTGAGGTTTGACGTTTAGGTCTCTGATCCATTTAGAGTTGATTTTTGTGTATGGAGATAGATACGGCTCCTGTTTCAATCTTCTGCATGTGGTCAGTTAGTTTTCCCAGCACCATTTACTGAATAGGTTCTCCTCTCCCCAGTGGTTGGTGGTGGAGGCTTTTTTGAAGACGAGTTGGTTGAGAAATTGAGGTTTTGCTTCTGGAATCTCAATTCTATTCCATTAATCTATATACCTGTTCTTGTACCAACACCAGGCTGTTTTGATTATTGTAGCTTTATAATAAAGTTTAAAGTCTGGGAGTGTGATACCTCCTGCTTTGTTTTTTTTGAACAGCCCTTTCTTGGGAGAATTTCTGTGGTAGCCATTTTCATTCCTTGAAGTGACAGAACCTCAGTGTGTGTCTCTTCATGAGTGTACTTTTTTCTGAAATAATATGCTATCATTTTTCTCTTGGCTGACCATGAGGCATTAGGAGTTTAGCCCCTTAAAAAACTAATCTACTTCACGTCATTGTGCAGTATGAGGTGAGTTTTGGATCCCAAACCTCCAAATATATTTCATCTCAGAAAACATGGAATCTACAATCTCATCTTTAAGGAGCTGTTCATTTATTTCAGGGGATTACACCCAATGTGATAGACGCATGGCACATGGGGCTGTTTCCCCACTGCTGAGTGTGGCAGATATCACCAGTCATCATTCATGACATTCATGACATCACCAATGACTCACTCATGACATTCAAGATGTCATCAGTCAGTCACTTATGACATTCTTTCTCACTAAGCCTGTGCTTGGTCTCAGAATACTTCTCGTCTACAGCACTGCAGCCAGCAACCTCCAATCAAGTGTAGTCGGTCTGTGGTCCCTGCTTTTCATTCCTGCCTAATTCACTGTTCTGCTATGACTAAAATCCAAAGAGGAGTAACAGGGACCCTTAATATACGTGTTTCTAATGCACCTTTTTCTCCCCATAAATTGTTTCCAGTGACAGGATGTAGGCAGAGCATCTGGGAGCATTGGGCACCTAAAGAAATCAAGGCACAGAAAGGGGGATGGCAATTGCTAAGAAAATATAGGAACCTGTGCTTATTTCTTAACTTTTGTCAGAACTTGTGGTGGAGAGCACGCTGGGCACATGTGCTCCTGAAGTCACCAGGTACTGAATCTCCATGCCTGATGGTAGATTCAATGTTTTGTGGCTCTGGTGCTCATGGACACTTCTGGAACTTTCTAACTTGCTAGTGTAAGCACAAGATCCAGTGATTCTAACATGAGCCTGGTGGGGTGTAAGAATGCCCATTCACATTTAGAAACCCCATACAAGGGATGTTACTTTAATTAATTTCATGCAAGTTAACCATCTCTAGCCTTGGTCCCAACTTTTGGACACTGAGTAGGTAGCAAATAGATGTCTAAGAAACTCTTAATGGATTACTAAGGTGGTGATAATGATAACAATTATGATCATAGCAACAGTAAACATCTATTTAACATTTATTATGTGTCAGATGCCATGGTAAGTACTTGACATGCATTATCTTGATTAATTCCCACAACAACCTCACAGAATAGGTGCAGTAGTCTCCCCTAAATCATGGGCATTGTGTTTCAAAACCCCCAATGGATGCCTATACTGAAGACAGTGTCATACCCTATGTATGCTATGTTTTTCCCCCTACATATATACCTATGATAAAGTTTAATTTATAAATTAGGCACATTAAGAGATTGACAACAATAACTAACAATAAAATAGAACAATACACTCTAGTCAAAGCTATTATGAATGTGGTCTCTCTCAAAATATCTTATTGTATGTAATATTTTCAGACCACGGTTACTTGCAGGTAGTTGAAACCTTGGAAAGCAAAACTGTGGATAAGAGGATATTACTGTAATATTATTCCTCTGATTTTCAGAATGAGAACATGGAAGATTTAGCAATATTAACCAACATGTCCAAGGTCACAACGCTAGTAAGTGGAAGAGCTCAGATTTGAATGCAGGCCTATGATTCATACTCTGTCGATGGCCATGGTGGAGATTTCTCTCTCTTGTTTTCAATGATGATGGCAATGATAGTAGTGATAGAAGATCTCAGGGAACATTTACTAGTAAGAAGAATCGTAAGCAGGATGGAGTCACTTTATCTTAGGCTCAGGTAACAATATTTTGATACAATTCAACTTCAAGATGGAAAAGCTTGTCTTGATAAACTAAGCTGTTAAATCTGTGACCAAATATTTTAAAGATTGGTAAGTTACTCTGTAAATCATGACTTAACACTGACAGGAGCCAGGTGATGGCTCAGAACAGTAATGGGGTTCATGAATACAGATTATCTCTTTCCCCACTCAGATCAACAAATAAAAGCATAGTTCTATCTTTGACTCCAAGAAAAAGTTTATTTATTTATTTTTAAAAATATAAAAAATGTTCCAGTAAGAAGGAGCAAGGGCTCAATTCATACCTGGGTCCCATTTTCCTGGAAGCATTTTGACATTTTTTAGAAACAGGATTGATTCAGTCCTTTTGACAAACTTGAAGGAAGATAAATCACGCTCTTAAGATTCAGTTTGAAGAGAAAAAAATTCATTTCTCTGTGAAATGCAAATTATACAAATACGGCACTTGATTTAGTTGTTCAGTGGCTCTGAGGGTTGAATTTAGTGGGGGAGGGAAACACTCTATACAGCTTTTTATAGCTGCATGTAACTTGAGTACAAATTTTGCTTTATAACACAGAGAAAGAATTTCTGGAGAGAATCTATACTGGAAGTGCTCTCCTTCCTTGAATATGCCAGAGTTACCATCCAAAAACATGGTTTGGATCACACCACTTCACTCCACAACCCCTCTCACTTCTTCCAGAATGTGGTAAAGCCATTAAGAATGGTCTCTGGCACACAATCTAATGTGGCTGCTTTTAATTTTGTGTTCCTGAGAAAAATAAGTATATCTTTCTTTCCTCTCTTTCTTATATAAGAAGGCAACACAGGTATTGGAAGAGAGGTGTTGTGGGTTTGTTTCCCCCCAAAAGATGTGTTGAAGTCCTAACCCCCAATACCTGTGAATGTGACCTTATTTGTAAATAAGTTCTTTGCAGATTAAGTTATACTGGGTCCTCATCCAATGATTGGCATCCATATAAGAAGAGGAAAATTTGGATACAGAGACAGAAGGGAGAAGGTCATGTGAAGACAAAGGCAGACATTAAAGTGATGCATCTATAAGGCAAAGAATACCATGGACTGCCAGCAACTACCAGAAGCTGGAGAAAGACATGGAACAGATTCTCCCTCAGAACTTCCAAAAGAAATCAAACCTGCCAACTACTTGATTTTGGATTTCTGGCTTCCAGAACTGTGAGAGAATAAATTTCTGTTGTTTTAAACTGTCCAGTTTGTATCAGCTATTCTGTAGCCCTAGAAAGCAAATTGAGGAAGTGAACACTTTTTTTCTTTAAAGATGGGATTGCGTATATCCTGGACTGGAAGGTGAGACCCAGGGGCCCCCCTGTTCTGGGCTTCCTGAATCGGCCAAGACTGCTGAGGAAATGAGTTCCTGTCACAATATCAGTGAGCTGAGGGGCGAATCCACAGACATGTCTACGCTGCTTGGACAAGCTCACAATTTCTAATTCGTCCCTCCTCAGAAGGGGATAAAAATCAACCTTAACCTGAAAAGGCCTTTGAAGAATGTATAGAAATTTATCAGGTAGCCAAAGACAAAAGCATGAAAATGTGAAATAGTATATTGAATTCAGGGAATTTTAAGTAGATCTATTTATGCCAGAGTAGTAATTGCAAGGAATCAGAAATAGGAATATAGATATCAAATATTATATAAGAAATGTACTTTCCAAATTTGACAATTTTTGAACTGGAAAAATGGAAGGTATTTATTTTATTACTCATCCCACAAGAGCTTAAGAAGATCAATTAAGCATATATACCAAAAGCTACTTGGTATATCCTGGAAAATCATTATAAAAGGTTACAACAAAACAACATTGCGGATACAGCTGGCTTCACTGTCAAACAATAGAAAGCTGGAAAGAAACCCAAATTTGTCTACATTAAGGATAGAGGTGAGTTTTCAAAAAGGTCCACTGAGTCGTATTTACAAATGATCCCTTATGCAAGCATCCAGTGATCACTTGAAACTTATGCCTTTCAAGTATAAATATTAACACTGATAGATAAGATCCAGTGAGCTAATGGGTGTATATAGGCATTATAAGCATTTATGAGTCTTATATATTCTATTCTAATCTATTCTAAGTGTGGCTGTGTAAAGTGTAAAATTAAATGTATGCATTTTAAGTTTGTACAGACTCAATAAAAAATTAAGTAATTAAGAATTACAAATATAAAACATAAACATTTAAACAAAAAAGTCAAATGTTGAAAAGCACAGAAGAAAAGCTAATGAAAAATTAGAGGAAGCAAATTATGATAAGACTAAATGGAACTCTATAATGATGAAGATGGACAAAATACACTATATAAGAATAACAGTGTATTTTGGTTGAACATTAGGAAAAGATCAATATGTCAAAGAACTAATTAATTAGACATACTGGTTGCAAATAAATGATGAGATATGATCAACTATGATTGCAATGGACTTTACTCCCACCCAAATTTATATATTGAAATCCTAACCTCTAAGGTGGGGTCTTAGGAAGGTAATTAGGTCATGAGAGTAGAGCCCTCAGGAATTGGATTAGTGCTCTTATAAAAGAAGCCCCAGAGAGTTCTCTCACCCTCTTTCTGCCATGTAAGGCTATAAGAAGAAACCAGTCATCTGCAACCCAAAGAGGGTTCATAAAAACCTGAGTGTGCTGATACTCTGATGTTGGACTTCCAGCCTCCAGAACGGTGAAAAATGAATTTCTGTTTTTTTACAAGTCACCCAATCTATAGTACTTCATTATAGTAACCCAAACAGACTAAACAGACTAAGAAGATAACTATAATGCTGAATATAAGTTATAATGCTGAATGTAAGTTAAGGGATAGGTCAATATCAGCTAAACTTACCAAATACTATCCTAATGAAGTCCCACAGAAATACAAGAAGAAAGATCAAGTGTCTTTGGGGCTGTTGTAATTTCAAGATTTTATACCAGCCCTTATGTCCTAATATGGTTTGATGACCTATGTCCACTCTGATTGGCATCTATTTAGGCTGGTTGTTGTCCATACTGTCCTAGTTGTTAAACCCTTTGACTATCATTTTTGTCTATGACCAGATAACCTGAACTGCTCACTCTTCCCTATGAGATAAGTCGAACAATTTTGAATGTTAGTGCATTTATAGATTTTCCTTCCCTAATTCATCCAAAAGAATCCTCTCACTGCCAATACATTTTCTCTCTACCTAAAAAGGAAAGGATTTTTTGGTTCTCATTGCAGCTGGAAGGCTCAGTTGATCTATGGAATAAAGTGTTGCAGGAAGAAGGAAGGAGAAGAAAGCAAGAGTCTCTAATGCTAGGAGTGGAGAAGTTATTTCTGTCACAGGTTTCCAAGAACCTCTCAGAGTAGCTTTGGGGTATGAAAGAAATAAGAGAGAAAATGGTACTTTAATAAATGTTGCTCTGGACTACATTTCAGTCCACTTATCTACTGAGCAATGTGGAGAAAACTAAAAAGATTTTGAATTATTTTTGTTTATTAAATCAGGCTTCTTATATTTACTAGGTTAGTTGTGATTCACAGACTGCAAAATAATTCCACCATGTAATTTTAGAATATTTCTTGTGTTTTTTCTCAGGCCATACCTTCACCTTGGACTGCTCTTCCTATTCTAAATCCTACCTACTCATTTATTTTAGATGCTAACTCATTCTTGAAGTTTTCTTTAGTTCTTCTCCCCTAGCTAAAACCCCCAAGCAGCCCAAATGGGCACAATCAGTTTCTCTTTTAAAATTTCATGACAATTGACCTTTTCATCCCTCACAGCGATCATCTCCATTGCCTGTGGTGTGCTGCTCAGTTTTCCTGTTGCAGGATAAAGGTTCAGCTTTCAGGGTCTGCTGAGTCAGTTGTCTCTCTGGTAACTGCTTCCAGGTTCATAGAGTTGGCTGCTGTTGTCTCTTTATCCATTGTGCTGTCTTTGTAAATCTATGCCTTTTAAAAAAAATCTTTTTAAAAGTTGGGTTTTGGATAGGTTTTGAGGGAGAGTTTGGTTAGGTGTGGAGGGAGAGTTTAATTTGGGCACTCATGTTACTTTTGCCAGGAGATAAGTTAGTATATAAAAATTTTAAAAGAACAATTTTGTAGAGAAGGGGGCTAGTGTAAGCTTACCTTAAAGCTGAGGCAACAGGCTAAATATTTAAATAGATTCTAAGTGATTCAGAATACCCTACGGTGATAACCTCATGATCAATTAAGTCTTCAGTTTCTTAACAAAATAAAGGCAGGGTGGAGATTGGATTACATGACCTCTGCAATATATTTCTATCTTCAAATTCTATGAATCTTTTTGGTTATTGTGGGGATCCAGGCATTTGTGGGGAGAAGCATCCCATCCTTTCTGAAGTTGAGATTATGGAGGTGCTCAACGGGCTGGGTCAGTCATGTATCTGACCTAGTATGGCTGTACTTGTTGTTTGCATCTCTTCTCCTTCCCAGTATCAACTGGGGAGTCATCTCATCACAATGGCCATTTGCAGACCACAACATAAGCAGCCTTGCAAATAGAAAATGTCCTCACACTGGCTGTGGTATAAACATAAAAAGAAATGTGATTCCCCCTGAGGATGGAATGCCAGCAGGCAGGCTGGAAATCTGCACATGAACAACTGTTCGGTGATCTCCAAACACACTTTGTCCAAACAGCCTCCCAACATGGGTGCCATGTTTATATTCACCATATGGGAAATTAGAACTTCCCTGCCTGATTTCATGGCTGTATATCTCTTGGGAAAGTCTTTTGGATGTCAACCCAGGGTTGGAGCTTTTGAGGAAACTGAACAATAATAGGTTTCTGGTTATTGGAATGAGGTCTTCCAGACTAAACTTGAGCTCGAACTTAGCAGAGAGATTTGACCTCCAAAGGGAAGCAGAAAAAGAATTTGTTAATAAACAAACTGCCAGATTCTGTGAAAGAACACAAAATGGAGCAAATATTAGCTAGAGTTGGTAAGAATTCAGGAAATAGAAATCCAAATTGTTGCTGCCTTCACTAGTTAAAATCACAGATCTTAAAGTCTTCTAGTTCATGCTCTGCCTTCCGATGAAGCCATCCTTAAGCCTATTTCTGCCAAATGATATCTGCCCTCTTTTAAAGATCTTTATGATATAGGCTTTGTCACTTTCCTCATTCAACCATCCATTTAACCAATGTTTGGAACATTCTTTAAATTTACTTCCATTTTTCATTTCTATATTTTATCCTGACTGCCTGTGTTTTAAAGCCACTTCCTCATTCTGTGGCAAGATTTCAGATCTCTATGTAGCTCCTTGTCAGACTTTTGTGGCGTCTGGTGGGTCTGCTTGCCACATTTTCCCAGTCCCAATGCCCCCTAAATCCCTAGATTTACCCAAACTGTTATATCATGGAGACTGTCTTAGGGAGACAGTTATCACTGGGCTAGAAGTTGAGAGACCTTGATGCTAGTCCTTTCTGTATCACTGGCTTAGCAAGACTCCAAGGAATCTACTTAACTTCTGGCCTTGGGTTTGCCATCTGATCAATGAAGTAGGTTAATGAGATCTTAAGTTTTTCCTTCTAGCTCCCTATGATTTCAGATGCTTGGTGGTCTGTTTCCTGGAAGCATAGGAAAGAGGAGTTTGAAACAATAAAGCTTAAAGGAACTGGGATACTAAAGTCTCCTTTCAGGACCTTCCCCCACACTGCGGTTTCCTCATTTTCTCAGAAGAATGACTGAGCTTGTGGTAGGTCAGAGGCTGTGTCCTCTTGTTCTGTGGCTTTTCAAGATTTTATTTATTTATTTATTTACTGAGATAGCATATCACTCTGTTGCCCAGGCTGGAGTGCAGTGGCACAATCATGGCTCATGGCGGGCTTGAATTCCTGGGCTCCAGTGATCCTCCTCTCTCAGCCTCCCAAGTAGCTGTGACTACAGGCATGTGCCACCACATCCACCTAATTTCAAGATTTTAGGTGACACTGATAAAAAGAGAATAAAGTCATGAAGTCATAAGCGATGAAGTAGCTTGCAAAGGCTATCAAAGACATTGCTCTAATAAAAATCATTCATTCTCCATCTATGAGTTGTAGGGTTGAAACTTTAACAAAGGAGTGAATTTGTTTGTCAGTCAGTCTTCACTTGTAGCATATTTTCATTCTGTGAGGTGATCTCAGGAGATCAAACTCTTCTTTGAAACATATTTTGTTATGACCATATTTATTATTACTTATCTTTCCATGGGTTTCTATCTTATCTTGCCAAGAGACAGGTTAAGACACAAAGATAGTCTTTGTATAGCCTACTCTTTTGTGTATGCTAAGTGGTGTGATAAAGTGCTTGGTGAAGTTTGAGATAGATTATCAATGAACTGGATTATATAGAAAATATTTTTCTGAGACTTCTTTAATATGATCTCAATCCTTAAATATGCCTGGAAAGTTAATCTGTGAAATTTTTTTATTACCTTTATAGATGGCCTAGGCTCATCAACATGTAAGATACTTACCCACCTAGCTCATAGGTTTTCTTTTTGGTTGTTGTTGGTGTTTGGAAAGTGGGAGACACACTGTGGGATTCATTGGCATAGCATGTAGAGGACACTCTGATACCCTGTAAACCTTTATAAAATGTAAGGCATCACTACTGTACCAGAATTAGGGTGGTTCAGTCATCCTGTCCTGTGAGCAATGCCACCGTGTAGGCAGGATCCTTACCTGTTCTGGAATATACTACGTTCCTACCACAGCTGCCTCCACCTTCTTGCAAGTGTATTTGTCCATGGTTCTCAGCACTGATCTGAAACAAGTCTGAAAGGGTGGCAGGGGCCTACCTTCACACTTGAGCAGGAAGAAGTCCATGCTGTGGCTGAAAGAAGCACTGAAGTAAGTGCAGTTCTCAACCAGGTCACAGGAGAGGCACTGCCTGTTGAAGTTCCCCACCGTGTTGGCACTGAAAGAGCAGAGACGCAGGGTGTGAAGGGAGGTGAAGAGGACTCCACCGCAGCGATCCCAGTCCTTGTTTCCTGGCTGGGTTCTCTGAACTGACTGGCTTCTCCCCTATAAGGTGTTCTTTTAGGCCCTGCTGCCCACCCGTGGGCCTTTCTCCTTCAGTCTCCCTGCTACAGCTCCTGCGAACACCTAGCTCCATTTCCATCTTCCCCAGGAAGCCCTCCCTAACAAGTGGATCCCTCCTGCTCTCAAGGACTCTCAGCACCTTTGCTTCCGGGGTGGAATATACAAGGACATCTATGCTGCTTTATCCAGGCTCTGTGCATTGTTTGATGTGAGGAGCATCTAGTTGTTTTGCATTAAGATCTAGTACTTTATATCCATGTGTCCTATCTCTCTCAGTGAACAGTTAGCAATCTGAGAAGTAGATAGGTTTACATATCTTTGAATTCTCTCAGAGCACCAAACACTGGCATATGACAAAGCAGGGACTCCATCAACACCAGCTGACTTTAACTCTGGCTGCTTTCAAAAACCGATTCTTCTGACAGGTTGAAACAGCGGCGATATCACTTATCACTCAGCGGAGAAACTGATTTGAAGATGTCACCCAGGGCCACTCTAATCAGTATAATTTCAGGCCAAGAAGGCCTACAATGTGTTCCCCTAAATGGAAATATCTTGAAATACCCAATATAACTGGAATAGATTCTTTTTTTTTTTTTTGAGTTGGAGTCTCACTCTGTCGCCCAGACTGCAGTGCAGCGGCTGCTCCCGGCCACCGCAGCCTCTACCTGCTGGGCTCCGGCGATCCTTCCGCCTCAGCCTTCCGAGTAGCCGGAATTACAGGCATGCGCCACCACGCCCGGCTGATTTTTTGATTTATTGTAGAGATGAGATCTCGCTGCCCAGGTGGGTCTCGAACCCGTGGGCTCAGGCAATCCACTCACCTCAGCCTCCCAAAGGTATGTGATTACAGGCTGAGCCACCGAACCCGGCTAGAATAGATTCTTATCTGAACATTTTACTCAGGAAGGGTTCCCTCTAACTGTAGGTTCCAATATGAAGCCTGTCTTTTCAAAAGTAAAGACATTTCACAGGAGAGAGAAGATAACCTCCTTATACTATAAGTTAGAAGAAAGGGTTAGCAGGCTGCCTAAGCACTTTCTTATTAATTGGTGACATGACTGATTTCAATTTTTCTAGTAGATATGCAGCAATAAAAAGTCTATAGAGGGAAGCAAATCTGGGTCTCCTCCCTCCTCCTGGGCCCCTCATGCTGGTTTTCAGACTCTCAGCATAGATGCCAGTGGGAGTAAGGGGCCAACAGGTTTTGGTCCAATCCAGACTATGTGTCACTGGTCTTAAACCTTAAGTCTACACTGAGAGGCACTTTCTTCAGCAGGCAATGTACATTCAGGCAGCAGTCATTTGTGGCCCTCCTTCTAGTCTAGAAGGCACTGTGAAGGTAGCAGGCTGCCCCTTCTTTACCTCTTTGACACTGGAAGGAAGCTCCAGGGCTAATCTCGCTCCAGAACCAAGCTTTTTTGGGGGGAGAACAGTAACTGAAGCAGATGACAAGATTGAATGCTAAAGAAGCCGCCTCCAGGATTCAGAGCGCAGTCACCCCTGCCTTCTTTGAGATTATGAAGCTTGTCCAAAGTTGCATCATGAACGAGCAGCAGAGCTCAGACAGCAGTGCCAGCCTCCTCACCCTGGTCTGCTGGTGGATTTCCAAACCAGACTTTGTGTCCTTATAACAACCCAGGTGGGCTTACTTCCTATAAGCTGACATTTGAATGTAGGTGAAAAAGAAAGACTGGTACAAGTCCATTGGTTATCAAAAGAGGAAAATAAGTGTGTGTGTGGGGTGTGTGTGGGGGGGGGAAGGGGGACTCAATTTAAAAAAAAACAATAAAAAATTAAAGATTCAAATGTAGTGGCCTCAGCAAGCTTCGTTATTTTTCTCTACTTTATAGCTACATCTTGGTGGTAGGATCTTTCTTCACTGCCTCCCTCCTGAAATGCTGAAAAAATAAATTCTGCAAAGCCCAGAAGTCTTCCTAAGGGGGAGAGTCCCTGTGTGCAGGGAAGCCAAAGTTACCTGTAGAGATGTCGTCTCCGAGGCATGTCTTCCGTGCTCAGGAAGTAGCTGCAAAATATTCAAGGTGAACAGGGTTAGTTTGCATGTCTGCATTTCACATTCCTCACTTTACCTTTCCAGATACCCCTCAGGGACTGCCACTATTCCGTGGCCCACAGGGAGCAATTATCCCACTTGGATCTAGCTACATCTGTAGCAAGAGCAGGGGATGGCAAGATATCTAAGGGCTGAGGGTCACACCAGTGCGGATATTACTGGTCCCAGGTACCTCTTGCACTGGCCTTCACATCAGAGCCAGAGGATACTGTTACAGGGGGTGATGCACTTGGATTTGGATGTGGGCATTTCTTTACAAAAATGTTAATCTTCTGAATGACAGGAACTTTTGAATACAAGCCTAGAGAACCTGACCAATAAATACTTGCTGATTGATTTACACGTATAACACCCAGTGCAGAAACCTTGGCTCTTATCACCTGAGCAGGGAGGCTAAATACATCACTGGAAAGTACTTGGGCCTGGACTCCCATCCTCTGAGTTGCATCCACCTGTTGCCAACTGACTTTCCTGAAGTAAATTACTTAATTTCTTTTTGTCTTAGTTTATTTATTCTTAAGATGGGGAAAGCAATAAGCGTACCTCATGGAACTGTTGTATTAAGTGAGATAATGCTTGTAAAGTACTTGGAGTAATACTTGGAACGAGTGCAGACTCAATAAGTATCAGTCCTATGGCTGCCACGACAACTGAAGTGTTTCACCTCACAGTTCAGGCTGCAAGCTTAGCTTCATCATTGGCATTCTGCAGCTTTGGAAGTTGGGCTGTTAAGATAGGGATCTATGACATATTTTCAGGAAGAAACTAAGAGCTAGTGATATCACCTAGGAAGAAAAGATGAAGCCCCCTGTGCTCCTGCACTCTGTGATTATAATTCAACTAAAAATAGCAAATGTGTCCCATTAGCCAGTAAGGCGGGTTCCTACTTACATCTTATTCCGCTTCTCATCATAGGACAGGATCTTGGTCACGTCCCAGTCCCCAGAAGTGATGGACTGGATGTTGTCGTTGCTGCTGTTGGGCTGAAACACACAGACAAGACATCAGGAACAGAGAACCAGCCCCAGCGTGGCTTTTTAGCCTTGAGCCATTTTAGACACCAGGCAACATTTTCCGTGGGAAATGCTGCCTGTCCCCTCCTGCCTGTTCCTGTCTTCATGAGTCTCCACCAACCACCCCCAACCCTGAATGTCAGTGATGAGGAATAGCCCACAGTCCTCTTCCGTGGAGCTCTACACTTGGTATCTTGACCATCAGTTCCTCCAACCGCAATAGCAATAGAAGTATCTTATGAAAGGAATTGACGCTTTGTAAGCTGCTGCTATTGTGCCTCTTATGTTTGTATATCTAATGAGTGGAGTCATTACTCTAGGGGGACTGAAGGTAGAGGAAAGAGAAATGTGGGGAAGTGGATGAAATTGGGCAAGAAGATAGAAAGAACAAAGGGAGGGACACTTGGGCTCTTCTGCCATTTTCTGCTGTCGTTGATCCGTATTCTTGAGCAATGCATGTTCCGCATACACAGTCTCTCCATACGTGCCTCCCAGAGCTAAGGAGAATAATTACAACCATAAATCACAACAGAGGGGGAGAGGAGAGGAGGGACCATGTTGGCAGGAGCGATGTTTCTGGCAGTGATTTGACCAGGGTGTGGAGGTGCCAGGTGCAGCCCTGGCAGCAGGTGCCCTGGGAGGCAGGTGCAGACCCCATGGAGATTAAGCTAGGTGAGGGAGCCCAGGCAAATACCCTGGGGACTGGAGACATAGGAGTCAGAGGAAAGGGCAGAACCTCGATGGGCAGAGCATGTGTGAGATGCTGGGAGTTTGAAGTGTATTCAGGAAGGCTATGGGGGCCTAAGGGGCTCCTAGGGATGGGTTGGAGGGGGTGCCTCCTGGGTGGTGGCAGGAGGGCTGCTTCCTGTTGGAAGTTTTGGTAGGGTTTTCGGTAAATGCTGTCTTCTTGGACAAATTCAGAGACTGGGAGTCAAACGAACACAGATAAATTTTTTAAAAATCTTAATTGAAGTGCTCTGAAATGAAAAAAAAAAAAACATAGGAATGTGGGGCTTTAGAGTAAAGACCATAGGAATAAACAAATGACATTCTATAAGCCATGTAATTAAATGAATTGAGAACAAGCAATTCTGTACCCAAGACTCTGAACAGATGTTATTTCCATCACAGGAGCTATGGCAGCCTCTACCCTTATTCCATCAAAGCTGCTCTTGGGTGGGAAAGTCTTGAAATTTTTCTTCTGAAATTGCCTTTTGGGCCACATCATAAATATGAGACTTTTGCTTTATATCCACCAATTTTTTTTTTTTTTTGAGTTGGAGTCTCACTCTGTCGCCCAGACTGGAGTGCGGTGGCTGCTCCCGGCCACCGCAGCTTCCACCTGCTGGGCTCTGGCGATCCTTCCGCCTCAGCCTTTTAAGTAGCCGGAATTACAGGCATGCGCTACCATGCCCGGCTTATTTTTTGATTTATTGTAGAGATGAGGTTTCGCTGCCCAGGTGGGTCTCGAACCCGCGGGCTCAGGCAATCCACTCACCTCAGCCTCCCAAAGGTGCGGGATTACAGGCTGAGCCACCGAGCCCGGCCCACCAAATATTTTTGATTGACCTTTTTTTTTTTGAGATCAAATTTCACTCACATACCCTGGTTCCGAATAACTTTAGACTGCTGTCACAGCACCTTCCACACGTGGAGGGTGGGTCTGTGGCCATGAGGAACTTCAAGGACGTGGCCTCCATCCCCTGTCTTCTTTTTCAGGACAGAGTTCCCCAGAAGTCAGAGCCATGGCAGCACCCTCCTGCAGGCGTGAGGCTGCCTGGGGTGACCTCTGCAGGGGACTGTATCCTCTGAATGTCTACTTTTGCTTCTAAATTCACATATATTAATCTCTGACATTCTTTGCTCAGGCATGCTCTGCTTCTAACTTGCCAGACCACTGAGTCCAGTGTGTGATGATTGGTAGCGGCCGCATGATAAAACAAGTGGAGGTGGGCAGCTTGCGAGACCGGACTCATGAGGAACCATGATTGCATGGAGCCCAGCCTCAAGGAAGGGAGTGTGTTAGGGAACCCCCCCTCCCCCAAGAGAGGGAGGTGGAAAGGGAAGAGGCACAGAAAGTTCTTGGCTTTATGCTGAACAAGGAACTCCAGAGTCTCCACTGATATTGCCACAAGTGCCATTTGCATTCTCAAGTGTTAACAGAAAGAGCAAAGCTCGCCCCAGGCCCTGATCAGACCTTCTTGACTCTCACAAGTATCATGTTCTGCCCTGCCTTGGGGACTGACCTTTGGCTTCCAGTGTCCCGAGGGGCCTTCAGGATCCTTGAAAATAACAAGTGTGCCCAGCCAGCACTAGAGGCTGTCACCAACACAGGGAACAGTTTTGGAAACTAGCAGGATTTACCTGGGAGGAGGACACTGTAATGTGATAGAACTTTCCTCGTCCTCCCTGAGGGATGGCTCTGACAAAGAAAAACTTTCGACCATCCTTGGAGAACACTGGCTCTTCATTCTGTGGACAAAAGCAATGGATGAAACTGCTACAGAAACTTCATTTTGTTTTGAAGAGGTTGAATCTGGATAAAATACACCCCAAGACACATTTTCTATGTAATTCCTAATGAGAGATACAGTTGAAGAATAAGTCCTGGGTGGGGCCTTTTCCTTTTTCCTTGGGAATCATGAGCCAAATGCTATGTTTTCTAAAACAAGAGGAATAATGAAGAAGCCTCAGCAGAGGCAGATAATAAGGCATCCCTTAGCCTATAAAGCGCCAATAAAAAGAAACGGCCATGTGTGCACACCAACTCACTGGAGTGAACAAGAATTTGGCTCTCAGAAAGCACAGAGGAGTGCCTCCCCCTCAAATTGTTGTCCATTGAAGCCAGCATGTATTGTGAAATTTATCCAGTGGCATTTATTATATATCAAAAAGAACATAATTCCAAACAATCACAGACCTGATTTTGCCTTAAAAATGAATTTTATTCTTGCAGTCTGTCTTTCGTTCTTATTTAATAAAATCTATCTGAATAGCTCACCAAGAAGACAAGAAAATAAAAGAAAAGAAGAACAAGGATATTTCTATATATTCTAAAATGTAGATAAGAGGAAAAAGCATTCCCGGGACTCACTCTACCCAGGAAATTTCATGGACTAGATGCCAACATTTGCTTGGAATGACTGTCACATTTCCTGGAAGCAAAATCAGCATCCTCCAGCTTTCTTTGGGGGAAGGAGTTCCAGGCTGGACGATGAGCATGTGTTGCCCCCATCTCCACCTGGTCCCCTGGACATCAAGCAGCAAGTCGCTCAGTTTCCACCAGCATTGCAGGTTGGTTATTGCTTTGATGGGTGAAAAGGAATTCGGTTACAGCAGCATCTCGGCCTCTCGGAAGCTCAAGTTTGCAAGTTTCCATCCGTGAACAACTATTAGTAGGCCATGACATACATTTTCTGATTCAAGGAGCTCCACGCAAATTCAGGGATGAGAACAAACGGTAAATAGACCCCAGCTGGCATGAGGAAAACTCATTTCCCTGCAGTGAATGAACACAGGCGGATACGATATGCCCAGAGAAACAAACTGACATGTGATTAAAATGACATTTAATCTTCATGAATATTTGCAATAAAACGAAACCTTTAATCTGCAAATATTTATTTTTCTATTTAGAGGTGGGAGCATGGTATTTAAAAGTAGAGAGAATGGAAAGACCAGTGGTTAATTTGGCTTTTTAAACGTCCTACTATTTGCTGACTGCAGGATGGATATGGCAATATTCCCTCAGTTTTCTGAGGGAAATGTTTGCATGTCTGGCAGAGGAAAATACTCTACATAAATGTAATAAATTATTAATTCTGGCCAGAAGCATTGTTTTTTATAATGAGAAGGCCTTCACCATTTAACCATCTTTACATGGTATCACAGAAATATCCCTGGGGACACAGTGGAAGGCGCTGGCCTTTGACCCTTGATGAGATTTGGTTTTCCATGTAGGATGTGTATTTTTGTGACATGGAGCAGTGGTTTTTGACTAGGGGAACTGGATTTTTATCCTGGTTGTCTCTCATTGGCTTTTGAGGGAAACATTTCCAGTCTCTCTGGATAACCAAAATTTGTCATTCACAATGCCTGATTTCTACAACTGCATTGTGGATCTGTGAGGAATGAAGTCTTTTCACTGATTAGAGACTGTGAGTTATTTGTGGCATTTCTGCTCGTTCTTCCCATGGTTCAGATGTACTCATCTTGTTCAACTCCTCCCCCCACATTTTGAAATCACAAATCCAAAATCCTGGTTAAAGAAGAAAGGCAGCCAGAAATTGATCCATAGAAGTGACACTTCAGTCAAGATGGAAGGTTCTACACCAAATAGTGACGGCATTGGTAGAGGCCCCCTATGTGTCTGTGTCAGGACTGACTTTGCACAATCAGTGCGGTGATGATGGGGTATGTGTGCTGAAACAGAGGGGTTTGCCTGTTTCTCTGAATATTCCCAGAGGAGAGGGAGTGGCTGGTCTTCAAACACACACCTTTGCCTCTTCCTTTGGCTCACGAGAAATCTCTGTGGGAATCCAGGCAGAGGACTCTAGGAAAGGGATGGGTAGAGGGGGAGCTGGACGGCTCAGAGAATGTAAAATGGGCAGGATCACTGCAGCTCGCCTCCGTTCCGGCAATGGGAAAAATGGGTGACCTGAGCAACAGAAGTCCCTGAGGTCTTCAGGACTTTCTAAATTCCGGTCACGCTTTTTTGACCCACTTGAGATGCATGGGTAGAGGGCACGTGGCCTCAGTGTGTGTCTTCCTCACTCATTCTTGCTGGTCTCTGATGAGAAACACTCCAAGATCCACCTGAAGTGGCAGTCGGCAGTTTCATGGGCAACAGATGGCAGGCCCATCCTTAAATAAGTTCCTAAGCTGCTCTCCAGGACCCCATCAAATCTTAAAGGATGCAGAAACACTACAGATTAATTTTGAAAAATAGTGTCCATGAATTCCTTTCTCAAAAAAGAAGTGTCATGAGAAGTTGTTTGAAGTTGGATTTTCCTGCAGACCATAGAGCTCTTACCATAACAATTACAGACTCTACAGGGTGTTCGGATATATCACGACCTCCTTGTCACGGCCATAGGTGGGTGGACCTAACTTGGCGATACCGATGCAACTATGACTCGTGGGCCAATCTGATCTCCAAGGAAACATGTCTGTCATAGAGCATTACCTTTCCAATCCAAGACAGCATTGCACATTTTTGAGTAGCTATTTAAAAAATGTTAACTGTGTGCTTAGTAAATGCTTTAAAGTTCACATTTAAATTATTATTATTATTATTATTGAGTTGGGGGGGGGTCTCATGCTGTCACCCAGGCTGGAGTGCAGTGATACAATCATGGCTCATTGCAGCCTTGACCTCCTGGGCTCAGGCGATCCTTCCACTTCAGTCTCCTGAGTAGCAGGGACTACAAGTGCACGCCTCTATGCCCGGCAAATTTTTTTATTGTTTGTAGAGACAAGGTCTCACTATGTTGCCCAGGCTGGTCTCAAACTCCTGGGTTCAAGCAATTCTCTCACCTTGGCCTTCCAAACTGATGCAACTACAGGCATGAGCCACTGCACCCAGCCCTGTGAGAATTATTTTAATGTAGGCTTCTTTTAAAGTGTTGACTTGATTTTGCTTGGAAAGACCTGGTTTCCTGTATCCCATTTAGGTTTTCTACTATGTGCTTGGGTAGGTGTTCTCACATAGACAATGAGATATACAATCAATCAATGCACAAAAATCCTGCTGGTGATCTTGGGTCTGTGGCCACTCTGCAGAGCTGATGTCTAAGCAATGGAGGATGGATTTATGGCCCCTGACTGGCCCCTGAGACCACATACTCTGCTGTCCATCCAGAGGACCAAACCACAGGTGGCCACCCAGGAAGCTAGCATGCCCCCCTTGCCCCGTGGTAATGTGTCTCCAGGGGATGGGGAAGCAAGTGGGTAACTCAATCCCACTTTCCAATAGCTTCCATGCCTCCTAGTAAGGAAACTCGGCTGGCATGTTCTCACTCATAAGTGAGCCTTGATCACTGGCCACATGAGTACAAGGGTGGGATCAGCAGACACAGGACACTGCTCTGGGAGGGAGGCAGGGAGGAGAAAGGGAGGACGTGGGGCAACGTGGGGCAACACACTGGGTACCAGGTCCACTATCAGGGGAGAGAGGGCCAGCTAGAAGCCCAAACTTCACCTGTATGCAACTTACTTATGTGGTAAATCCTCATTTGTACCCCCTCAACTAAAATAAAATGAAATAAAATAAGATATAAAATAAAAAACGTGGCTGGACTTCTCACCTCCTCCTGTTCAAATACAAACACTGCCCTGGCAGAAGGCTACCTGCTCTGAGCCCACCACACTATTCCTGGCTCCCTTCCCACCAATGTCCAAACATTTAAACGCTGTTTCTGAACATAGTTGAGGACTATGTTTCCTACACTTTGGAATTTCTGTGCACATCTCATCTCCCTGTCTATCTAAGTGATTCATTTTTCAGAAAAAAATTGAGACAAATTCCCATCACATAAAACATTTTAATAAACATGAACAATTCAGTGGCATTTAGTACGTTCACAAAGGTTGCAACTACCATCTCCATCTAGTTCTCAGACATTTCCATCACCCCAATTTCACACTCAGCATCTATTAAGGCACTGTTCCCCACATTCCTCTCCCCCAAGTCCCTGGCAACTGTCAATCAGCTTTCTGTTTCTACAGATTTATTTATTTTGGATACTTAATAAAAATACAATGGGTGGCCTTCTGTGTCTGCTCTTAGCTGCACTGTTCACCACAGCCAAAAGGTAGAAACAAATGAAAAGTCCATCAACAGATGAACAGACTGTGGTATATACTATAATGAAATATTATTCAGTCACAAAAAGGAATGCAGTTCTGACCCATACCACAACTTATGCTTGGTGGGAGAAACGGACTCATTTTTGAAATCCGCAAAGTCTAGCATGGGACTTGGGAAGGTACACAGACATCTACTGAACACATTACTAGATAATAGAGTTTTGAAACATGATCCTTTCATTACAATCTCTCTGACATTTTGTCGGATATGAGATGAACATCATAACATTATTTTTTATATTTATGCCATATGTTTGGTCCAGGTGGCATTCAATAACTTTCCAGCTTGCTAATATTTTAGGGCTTCCAAGTCCTCTCTCACACTTGATGTCTTCTTGTCTTGGACTTGGCACCCAGACTGGGATACAGGATAACAAAAATGACCATATGGAGCCAATCCTCTTTTGAATAAGATTGATCACGGAGCAGGAAAAGGATATATTTAAAAGTTACTGTGCCTACTGGTGAAGTGACACCCCTGAGAGAATTAGATTGCAAATTCTACTGACAGAAGCAGCAGCACAGCAATTGGAGGGCTGGAATGTTTTTGGAGAACCACTGTTGATAGCTATACTGCCCTGTTCTAGTTATTTTCTATAAATAGAATGTATATCAATAAGAAGCATTCTCAAGTGTGGTTTGACTTTTCCCATAGTATTTTAAGACCATTTTCATGCCAATAGGTAAGATAAGACTGAAGTAAATTTCTAGAACTTTCCCCCTTCTTTTAAATGTCAGAGTATGGAATGTGATAAAAATAATTGAAGAAAGAAACTATCAGGGCCGAGGTTTTATTTTTTGTGTCAAGTTTAATTTTTTAAAAAGACATTTAGTCTCAGAGTGATTTACCTAGCTTCTCCTGATTGCTCTTAATCTCATGTTCATAGAGTCTATTTAACTTGCATCTTTGTCTGAGTTAGGGATGAATGATCCCTGGAGATGGTTTTCAAGTCATGTCCCTGAGGAAGAATTCTGTAGAATCACCAAGGAATCTACTTCAAAGGGGACATCAACAAAACCACCCCTGGGAATAAAGAGGAATATCCACAGCTCTTTCATTTCTTTTACCATGGTAGATTATGTCAAGGCAACTTTTATGGATTCATCTTTTTTTTTTTTTTAAAAGTCGGGCTTTCACTCTGTTACCCGGGCTGGAGTGCACTGGCATGAACACGGCTCACCTCAGTCATAGCCTCGGCCTCCTAGGTTCAGGTGATCCTTCCTCCTTGGCCTCCCAAATAGCTGGAAACGGGGTTAATTCAAAAATTTTTTTTTGTAGAGACAAGGTCTGACTATGTTGCCTAGGCTCGTCTTGAACTCTTGGGCTCAAACAATACTCCTGCCTTAGCCTCCCAAAGTGCTGGAATTACAGCATGAGCCACTGCACCTGACCATATTCATCAGTTTGAATTCACCAAAGGGATGTCATTGAGCTGAGAGATGAGGTCTCACCAAACATTCTATGTTCTGGAGAGCAATAATTTCCAAACTCCCTTCTCTGGAACTCTGAAGTTCTCCAGAAGTGCCTCAGCGGCTGCCCAGGAAAACAGAGGTAACGTTTACCAGAACCACAAACATTCATCTGCTCCTTTTTGAGAAATCCTGTATGGCTGAGTTTGAGGAATTGTTCTGCTGTTGTCAAAACTCTGAGAGTCACCCCTAGGATGAATCAGGTGGAGGGGACAACGGGGGCCCACGTATGGAGTAGTTACCTGTCTATGGAGCCAGGCTTCACTTTCATCCTCGTGTTTCTGAAATGAAATAAGAACATTAGACAAGAGGGCTTTTGTTGTGGTTGTTTGGTTTTGTTTTTTGCATGTAGTGTGTCTGTGACCAACAGTGTAGAAAACAACTTGGCTTCAATTATGTGGAAGCTGCCCAAGCCCAGAACAGCTGTTTCGCTGCTCTGGCAGGAGGTAATCCTTGGCTCTCCTCTTTGTCTCATATGTGGCTCAGAGCCAAACACAAGTGTTCTCAAATTAGAGAAATGCCACCATCCCTAACAATGGGGACAAGTCCTGTGGGGGGGGCAGGAATCCTCTGAAGGAAGATGGCGCTTCTACCATGTGGTCATTACTGCCCAGGTATGTGGCCATCTAAAGACAAGCCCCAGGCACTACATCGTGCTGGGAAGTCGTGTGCAGGCACGTGGGTGTGGACATTGTCAAAGTCTATTTTGTAACTCTGAGTAACAATACTGCTAGACCAACACTCTTTATTTATTTATTTATTTATTTATTTTTATTTTTTGAGTTGGAGTCTCACTCTGTCACCCAGACTGGAGTGCAGTGGCCAACCCTCTTTAAAAGGAGCTAATACATATATAAAAAGTATATCTCACAGCATTGTGTGGAAGGATGCTCAAAGAAAACCAAAACAAACCCTCAAACACCAAGGTCTGGCTGTTCAGCACACTACATCATTCTGAGGTTCTGTGAGCCTGTCACTGCTGCTGATCTGACCTCCAGACACCTTCAGCACTTCTCTCCATGGGCTGTTGGCAGGAAGCAGCATCTTTAGCTGACATACTTAGATCAGGGGTTATTCCCAGCTGCTCACCCGGGTACTCACTCTTTCCTCCCTTCCTCTCAAGCAAGCCCATCAGAATAACCTGGAATCTGCTCTAGGTTATTTACAAGTCAGGCAAATCACAGACCATCCTGAGGATGTCAATTTTAGAAACAGATCATTGTGACTCACCTCCAAACCACACTTAGATAACACAGCGTGAAAGCCGCTGTCATAGAGGTCTCACAAGTCACAATAAATACAGGTAAGCAAATCTTTCCTTCCTAGTCAGAAAATAAATATCAGGGTCAAAAAAGAGTTGCCGAAAGACTCCCTGAATGCATTAATTGATTTTAATTTATTTTTTTTTAACCCAACACTACGTGGCCTGCTTCTTAGGGTTATGACAGAGCAATATAGTAGCACACTGTAAGGAGTAAAGGGATGAGTTCCTTGTGGCTGGAAGGTCGTCCTCCTGCTTCCCCTGGATGGGTTGCCTTCCTGACTCACCTGGGTGGGTCACCTCCCAGCTTCATATGGCGGCAGGCCTTTCTTTAGACTTTTATTCTTTCTTTGCTCACTTTTGGCATATTTTCACTTTCTCTTTCTTATGTTTAATCCCTCTAACTGCACATGAAGTCATCCTAAGGCTTCTAGAAACATTGCTGGCCTCATCAGGGACCTTCAGAGCCAGATGCTGTCCCTCTGGGGGCCCACTGGCCCTGGGCTGGGGGCAGGAACCAGAAGCCAAATGGAGTAAGCCAGGTTGAGGGCTGGCTCACTTGGGGTCTGGGGCCTTAGGCCAGTCTCTTCCCGCTCTCCCTCTGTGAGAATCAACTAGAACGAGGAGAGTGCTTGTTTATGAGACAGCAGTGAGCATGGATAAAGGAAAACAACCCTTCTGTGAACTGGGGTGCGAGGCCTTCGGATGAATTTGGCAAATTCACGGAAGGGATCAGCCCATGGGTTTTGCAACAGTGCTCAATGTTCCCACAAGGTGGCACCAAAACCAGGGATCCGGAGACCGCGCAAGCAGCCCAGCAGATTGTCCACGTTTCTCAAGCCCCCAAGGCTCAAAATGAGCTCGATGCTGCCTCGGATGCCTGCCACCATCGGTTCTTAACCCCTGCCCCTCATACCTTTGTGCAGACCCCCGTGGTGGCGTCGCAGAGGGTGAGGATGGACACGTTCTGCGCCCGGTTCAGCCAGGTCACGGCGACCTTGGTGCTGGTGGCCCACTTCACCATGGTGATGTAGTACTCCCTAGAAACACGCCAGAGACAGCATGAGTGGCTGTGCAGGCACCCACGCGGCCCAGGACACCAGAAGGCGTCCCATCCCAGCCCTGGAGACAGGGGCTGGGAGCTGGGGTGTGTGGGTGACACAGCCGTCCTGTGAGGTTCTGGACCTGGGTTTATCAAGCATACACATCAACAGGGAACGCGGGTGGGAAGCTGAATCATTTGCTTGTGCTACAGTAAGGACAAGACGCTCAGACGTCCAGTGCATGTGGCCATCCACCCCCGGGGGAGGGCACTTGGAGCTGCTCTGGGGGTTTTTTAGTCAGGTGCTCTGGCTAATGCTGTTCCACTGACTTGATTTCCACACCCCGATCCACAGCAAAGGCACAACTCCAGGCTACCAGGAAGCAGCGAGGAGATCCCAGGAAGGAGGACAGAGAAAGATGCACCTCAGAGAGTATGAAACAGCATGGAAAACACCCGAGTCTGAGCTGCCGAAAGCTCCGTTTTCTTTTTCCCTCTGCCATAAAGACAAAATATCCAGGGACGCTCTCTAGCTAATTAGGGAAATTGGTTCATGGCTCCGGGCTTCAGGTGAAGTTGGTTGGTTATCTTAGATGTCACACACCAGATTCTGCCCAAACCCGAAAACAACCACAGTATTCTGTAGCAGAGGGATATTGGGACTTCTGGTCATAATTTATCTGCAGAGCCCTCTAAAAACTGGATTAAAAAAACAAAACCACAATTTTGCATTTAAGAAGGAGGAGATGTTGAGAAAATAAGTGCCCCAAAATAATTATTCTCAGGTGAGTTCCCAGAAATCAGCTAAAGCTCTTTCACTCACCCACCCTATCTATATCTATAATGAGATCTACTGTTCAGAATGATTACTTTGTGGTCTTACAAGATATTTTATCTTTAAAGACAGCAGCACATTCACTAGACAATTCCCAGCAAGCTGAAGAGGGAATCTCATTGCACTTAATAATTATTTTCAACAGAAAGGACTAAATAACCAAGTGCCTTGACTTAAGTCTTAGTTAACCAGGAGATTAGATTGCTGCATCACTCCCATTCCCCAAATCTACCTGTTAATCAAAGTTCTTAATAACTTGACATAAACATGTAGCAAACAGAAGTAATAGTCTCCAAGTAGGCAAAGGCCTCTGGCAGGTGACCGCCAGGCTCATGGCCAGGGCTGGGTGGGGGGCCCCACTGTGCTCCCTGAGCAAAACAATCAATCATTCTTGTTTACAGAAGATTCTACTTGTTGAAACATCAAATTTTCTATCACCTTCTCCCTAACTTGATCTGCCTATTCATCTAATCTGCTCTTACCACCTTCATGGAGACTTAACGATTTTCATCTATTTATAATTAATTGGTGGATGTTATTAATTTAAGTATTCTGTTACTTGTATTCATTTGCCCTTCTGCCCCCTTTTCTTTTAATTCAGTTTATTTATTGAGGAACTTGAAAGAAACAAGAAAGGTGTAGCACTCACATTATTTAACTGGGCATTTTACACAGCGCTTAGAGAAAAGAAACGGGGTTTCTACTTCTAGAGAATAGAAAGCCTCTAATGCCTTCTAATTAGAATGTACATAAGAAAATGGGATAGAAAATGTTTTCCTCGTCTTTTTGAAAAACAAAACAAAACCCCCCAAAACAACAACAACAAAGAACGGAACAAGTAAATCACTCTGATTTTACCAAGAAATGTCTTCCTCTCAGAAAAAGTATACTTGAATGCTAAAGGCTCAGATGTGCTGAATTCTCTTAGGGACTTTACTTGGAGAAGCTACTATGATTTCCGCCTTTTATAGAATGGAGGGTTCTTTGTAAGGCTGTCCTCAGGTGAACGTCCCCACAGCTGGGGTTGGGGCCAGGTTGAAGGCCCAGCTGACTCGTCTCCAAGGTTTGTCTCCTTATCATAGCCTCCCCTCCCAAGACAATGTTGTATTTGGAGTGCCAATTATTGCTAATTCCCTCCCAGGAGGCTGCGGTAGAAGCCAGATATCAGGAAGTGGCCCACAGGCTGTGAAGCAAATTGGACAGCTTGCATTAAACTTCTCCAAACAGAGACATCCCAGGGGGCTCATGCTGAAGCAGAAAACTCCCTTTTCATTGTGCAGTTCCCAGGCATCTTCATCCCTACTCAAAAATGGTGAAACCAGAGGAGAGAAGAGCGTTCTCCAACCCCACATCCTCCAAGAAAACCACATTTATCTTTCCTTTCCTTGGCCTTTTCCAGCACTTAAGATTTGTGCCCTCCTATCCGCCATCATCCTTTTATAGCACTCTTATTTGCATTTCTGGTAGCAGAGATGGGAGCTCCCTGAGACGAAGAACAAAGACTGTGCCTGCTCTAACTCATGTTCTGGCCTGAGGTTTGGGACCTACATAAATCTATAAAATACCTATGATCTGAGTAATATAGTCTCTCAAAGGGAGAAGGGGGAAGTACTGATCAGAGGGAGAATCTAGGAGAATATTATAATAAGGAAACACTCCATGTAAATGAAGGGAACGGTAATCAGAAGAGGTCACACTACCGGGAGGTGTTGAGGCCTCACACAAGGAAACTGTGCAGAGGAAAACCATGACCTGTGTATGGTGGGAATGGATGAAGTTTTAGCATGAATGGATGTGGTTCTAGTGGGAATGGATGCCTGCCTGCTAGACCTGCTGAGCTCCCCTGACCTGCCACTTCTCCTACTGAATGTGTCCATGTCCATGCAGATGACATGTGGTTGTATATTGACATCACTGTGATAGTTCTCATGTGTTGCTGCCTGGAAGGAAGCATGAATGGGGATGGAAAATCCCCTTTCCACTTGTCCTGTGCCCTGTGTGTGCTGGCCTGGGTTTGCAGCAATCAAAGGCAGTGTTGTCACCCTCACTCAGGTAGGCTGAGCCTGCCCAGAGAGAGTAGAACAGCAACGAGGATGTGAGAACTTTGTGGCAAAAACTAGTGAAGGCTCATGTCACTAGAAAAGGAAGCAAGTAGTAGAAATAGTCTCTGCCTCCAATCTCTAATGATGTAAGTCAGGTTCTCAAAGTATGGTCCTTACACCAGCAGTACTTGAGAAGGGGTTAGAAATATAAATTCTCAGGCCTCACCCTAGATCCACTGAATATTAAACAAGCAGTATCTGGTTAGCAAGGCCCCAGTGATTCTAAATGCTTGCTTGAGTTTGAGAATAACTGACTTGGAATGTGTGGTACTCTGTCCAGCAGTAGGTGACCATATGAAAACAATTCCAAATGCCATTTAACTATATATCTCTATTTCTATCTTTAGCCTGTACTAACCATCCTTTGAATGAATACATGACGAGATGCTCTTGGATGAATAAATGTGTTGGTAGGCAGACGTGTTTTAGAATAAAGAGAGATTTGGTAGCCATTAAAGGGGAGGAGAAAGCAGGATTGGAAGAGGAGTCATTTTTAAAACAAAGTTGGAGTAGGAGATTGAAAGACACAAGAATTGATCTGATGTCAAGATGAAGAGAGATACCAAAGCATTTTGACAACCACAGAAAATAGGTAATCATATTTTGATAACTTGACATTGCATTTTTAAAATAACATGATACCAAAGTATTAACACAGATGCAAAGATTCCTGGAAGAAATGCTACCAAATTTCTCTTTATTCTAAAGAACTTTATCTTCCTCCCAATATACTTATTCAACCAAGATAATCTAGTCATGGCTTAGTACGTGAGAGACAGTTGGTTCTAGGTGGTGGCAACACAAAAATGGGCAAACCCTTGCTTTAGGGAGCTCACAGTTTGAAGAGAGACAGTTGAACAAGCTACTGGTTTCAGTGCAGGGTGGGGACTGCCCAAATAGAAGGAAGCAGGGTTTGCCATGAAGCATGTGGGAAGAGCACTTGTAATGGCACGTCTTGGCTGAGAAAATATTATTACATCCTGTGAATCCCCAGCCAAAGGTGCCTTCAAATCAGAATACAGTGGCTCTTCATGGTGAGAAGTATATGAATTATTTATTAGTCCATTTGTTTGCCATAAAATATTAATAGAATGTTGTCTCTGTCACAGGGATTAATGTGCAGTGTCACTTCTTGGTATTCCAAATTCTGGCAAAGGTTCTGACAGTGTGTAGCAATAAAGGGCAAGGGGAAAAAAACTTGTTTATCTGATGAAATCAAGATCCTGCAATTAACTTTGGCATTTTAAAGCAATATTTATTCCATGGATCAAGCTGGGGCAAAAACATATTGTGAGGGAGGAGTTTTTAAAATAGAAGGCATCTTTGAGCAAATGGAAATAGCCTTAGATACCAAGTGCTGCCTATGGTAAAGTGAATGGCTCCATATCTGAGAATGCCCTCAGAGCAGTCATGCAATTTTATGAAAACATCTTTAGGCAGAGTGAACTTTACAAAATAGAAAATGATGACTTTAAGACAAATGATGCACATTTTCATAACTCTACTTTCAGTGTACAAATAAACCATGCTACCTTTTCTTTTCAACTTAGGGGCTGATTATAATGCAGGGCCGGCCATCAGGATGAGGGAGAAGGAAGTGAGAGGGGGTGTCACAGAGGACACACCTTAGGCATCCTTATTCCACAACTTGAATGCTTTGAACATGAAGGGATCCATTGACTAGTAATGGTGGGGGTAAATCTCACATTGTCTCTTCTCCAGTTCTTCATTTCCATGTGCTCAGCATCCATCTATCTATTTGCCTAACAGTCTGTTTATCCATCCATCTGTCCATCTACCTACACATTATCCATTCACTCATCCATTAATTATCCAACCATCTACCCACCCATTCATATATCCACCAACCATTCCTCCAGTCATCCATATACTCATCCATCCACCCACCCATCCATATATCCATCAATCATTCATCTAGTCATCTATCTACCCATCCATCCATTCTTCCATCCATCCACGCATCCATATATACATCCATCTAGTCATCCGTCTACCCACCCATCATTTATCCATCCATCCACCCATCCATCATTTATCCAC